CGTGTGGGGGGGGGGGGTGTGCGCGTGCATGGCTGTTGTGCGGGGAGTGAGGTTCACCAGCAGGGCCAGGGAGGCTGTATGTGGGACTTTAATTTTAATCGCAGATTTTGGGGGTTTTATCAGAGAATTTGCAATTTTTAATCAGGGAAAACCAGGATCCTGCCCGATTATCTAGAAAACAGCCAAATCAGCCTTAGTCATTCCACCAAATTCCAGTACATCCCTTCCTCTCTGAAAAGCAGAAGCATCATTCTAATGTCAATACTAAAATATATTCTACCAGTTTTTTCCTTCTGTTTCTTCTCAGTCAGCTTTCCCAACAGATAATCAGATCTAGATTGTATATAGTGGCCGCTCCATTTTTGAGAGCTTCCACTTATACGAGTGTTTTCCAACAGCAGAATTCTGGTCTTTTTTTTTATCAGTTTTGACTTTCACATAATCCGTATAACTCATTAGCACCACATGTCAATGAAGCCAAGAACATCAAGAGACAGAGTGGGCATTTATAAGGGATAACAAGTATCTTGAACGTTGTAAGAACAATGAAGCCAAGAACATCAAGAGACAGAGTGGGCATTTATAAGGGATAACAAGTATCTTGAACGTTGTAAGAACTGATTTAAAAAAAAAAAAAAAAAAAAAAAAATGGTTATGATATAGTTTCCAGCTGCAGAATTTAAAAACAAACCAACTATTTACAATATTAGGATTGCAACCTGGATGAGGATCATCCCACACCTCCTATGGTAGGACCTCTCACACTTTTTTCCTGAAACACCTGGTGACGGGCATCGTCAGAGACTGGCTATTGGACTATATTACTATGAATCTGACCCAGTATGGCGATTCCTATATACTTTGTCCAGGCTGTAACATACACAATGTGTGTTCCAAAATAATGTCTGCTAGGATTTTTTCCCTTTTTCTCTGGGATGACATAAAAACATTTTTTTTTAAGTCAGAGTAGAGAAGGGTAACTAGATCTAACTCTTGATTCAAAAGCTTCTTGCTAGGAATGGGGGTAGACTTAGGTATTTGAAAGAGGGGACAACCTACATGCTGTTTATAACCACTTCTGCCCTAGGGCTGGTGTACATGGCACAAACTAATAAGTTCTGCTAAGAAATAATCAGCACAAACAACTTGTAAAGCTCCAACAACATATGAAGGATCACTACTGGAATAAGTTTTAGTTCTTTTACCTCTTGCCACCCTCCTATGTTTTATTTGCAAAAAAAAATCTTGACTTTGATGCTTAGTTCCCAAAATCTTGTTCTCTTTAATTAGCTTTAAAATGTTCAATGATCCACTGAAAGACTAACATCAAGAGCAGACCACTTTTCATTTAATACTACAATTCTTGCAAATATAGTATTATATTAATTTGAATTATAATAAGTTGATTTTCCCTTCAAAGGTTACATACTATTTGGTAAAAATTATGCTTTAAATGTATTTATATTCAGTGGAAGAGCATCAATGCAGATTTTTCTTTGACGAATAAAACAGAAACAGGCCTATTACTTCTTTCAAAAATGAATAATGGACATTAAAGCAGGGTTGAGGGGGGAATGAAATAAGTGCCTGAAGACTGGTTACAGTCTTTACCCAGTATTATCATGTCAAGCTGTCAGGCTGAAATCCATTATTAAAAAAAAAAAAAAAAGAAGAAAAAAAAAGAAAGGACTAGAAAGAAGTCTGGCAGTAATTTATGCAGTGGAAATCCTAAAGCCATATGAATAACATGGGTCCCATTTGGTTAACCTAGTATTTTTATTCGTAACGGGGAAAAAAGTTAGGGTTGATATCACTGAAAGAGTTCTTAAGAAAAAGTCTGGGCAATTCATAACTAAATTCACCCATGATTTGCGCCCTCCATAACACTTGCTATTTACCAGATTCTAAAGATTCTATGGTGCCACTGTTGTTCAAAATATTTTCAAGATACTGATAAATATATAGGAGAAGAAATTGCTTCAGGCTTACAGTTTATACTGCCTAGCAAAGGGAAAAAAGTCAAGATTAGTTAGCTAGGTATTTAAGCCATACAATTTTGTAAGCAGCACATTAAATATGATCTAGATTGGAATTATTTATAGCACCTTTCATTAAAAAATCCAAAGTGTTGTGCACAACACCGTGAAGTGAGCAAAAACCCACAGAAGGACACTATCAAGACATATATTTTAGTTAACACGCTTCCTAAGCAAGTTTGACTTCACTTTGGTACGTTTAAAACAAAATTGTG